CTAATCTTCGATTAAATAATGATATTCAGATGACATTTCTTGGCAACTGGCAGACCAGCTGGAAAAATAAGTCAGAATTTCCACAGAGAATAGAGTGTTTTGCCATCCAAAGCTGGCCAAGTACAAACAGCAAAGGTTCTAAATACATATGAAGAAAAGGTCCTAGTAGTCTGCTTACAAAAGGGCTCCCTTTCCTCCATTCCCAGAGTACATACACTCATTTGCAGATGTGTGTAAAACGCAGAGGTAAATTTAATATATGTCTTCTTTCTCCTGGGATATCTGAACCTTGACACCAACTAGTCCAGCTCTTCACTTTTCAGATGAGGAAACTGAAGTCAAGAGAACCAGAAAGTGATATAACTTTCTAAGATCACATAAGACGCTGCGGACTCTCATTCCAGTGCTTTTTCAAGCACATTCCAAACTCACCAAAACCGACTGATAGAACCTGAAAGTGTCCATAATAGGGTGTCACGTGTGCACAGGAGTGGGTGGCTGAGATTATGTGTGCAAGGTACGTGTGTAACATGGGAGCATTGGGAGAATGAACACTTTGGCTCCAGACAGATGTGGTCCATGGTAAGTACTCCAAGGAAAAGAGATAGAGACCCTTAGCATGGGAATTGTTTATGAGTGGGGTCAAGAGAAGCCTGAAGGAATGGTAGGTGACAACATGTGAGCAACAGCTGGCACTGTTTCCATCCTTAGACTTGCAGGAGGTGAGTGGAGAATTTCCTCAGCCTAGAGAGAGTAAGGTAAGGTTAATGTTTGGTAGAGTTACACAGCCAACCTGGGTGACCTGCCAGGGAGGAAGCTAGAAAATCCAGACGGTGTTCTTGCCCTCCTCCATTCTCTCAGGTCCTGCTTATTGTCATCCATCAGGGAAATGCAACAGGATCCAGTGGCAAGTGGGCCATGCATGACATGATTCCTAACAACCCTCCCAATGGAAGGGGTATGGTGATGTGAGTGAGAGCAGCAAACAGAACACCAGCACATTTGAGTTCACATCTCAAGTTCCTAGTGCTGGGACTTGGGACAAGTGACATAACTCACTCTTTTCTTATCTGTGAGATAGTTGCAATACCAGCTCCTTGAGAGTAAAACTCCTTGGTGTAAAACTCCAAGCTCCAGGACCAACTCTTGCTCCTGTTCCTTCTCACAGCAATACGGAGAACCATGGACAACAGGGCCAGGTTGATCCCAACCTCACACTTTAGTAGACCTTGTGATTCAGCAATCCTGCTTCTAGGGATTGGTCTCAAGAAAACACCCAAGCAACTACTACGTAAAATATGAAATTGGGAACAGCTTTACTGTCTGTATCTATCAGAAATCTCAGTTGCAAACAACAGAAACTGATTCTGGACAAGTTAAGCAGGGATTTAGCTCAGCAGTTTCGCTGCCTGCTGCGCAAGTACAAGAACCCGAGTTCAATCCCCAGTAAAAAAAAAAAAAAAAAAAAATTAACGAGTGACTCAACATTTCCAGAAGAGACCAGAGATTTCTGCTTAGAAAAGATCCAACAATAGTAGCTAGGTCAAACAAACTGTGGTCCTTCCTCACCATGGACTATATTAAATTTGTGTTTAAGAAGATGTAATAATATAAAAAGATCAAATAATGTAGGTATGATATAATTTTAAAGAAAATTTTTCAGAAAAAGTCTGCAAAAGTATGTGCCAAAATATCGATAATTGTTTTCTCTGGATTGTAGAAAAAAATTTTGTTCTTGTATTCTAAATCATTCTCTGGATTGTAAAAAAAAAAAAAATGATGTTTATTGTTTTTATTCTAAACAGAATTCAGTGAACATGGATGGCTCTTATAATAATGAAATATTTAAGACAGCAAAATGATGTTGGACTTTTTGTAACACATGGAAATCTTTAGTCTGGGGTGTGATTCTCTCGTATTTTTTTTCCCATTCAAGGTCCAGTGGCTTCTCTTCCACACCAGTATCCAGAGGCCTCCTGTGACATGGGACAGTGAAGGAGGTACTAGAGTAGAATCGAGAGGATACACAACACCAGCCTCACCCCCAGGGGCAGGAAAAGGTGCCTTTGGTTGAAGAATAGTGAGAGTGAAGGGAGATGGAATGGAAGACTAGGAAGTGGACTACATCATTTTCTTACATTTCGTTCTAGGAAGACCTTTATATAAATCACCAAACCAAGCCAAACTAAACAGTAAAACACCTCAAGGAAATCTCACTGAGACTTTATTTGAAGTTTGGTATGTGACAATGTGAAACTTCTAGACAGTTTTAAAGTTCTGAATTGCACTTTTTTATGTCCTTAATTGAAGTTAATTTTCCTAATCAAAAAGCACTGCTTCTCCTTAAACTGACTCTGAACTGTGAAGGGAATGTGTTATGGCTTATATCTAGATGTCCTACCAAAGCCTCATGTGCTCAGAGGTGGGGCTTTCAGAGGTAGCTGGATCTAGGGTATGTGAATATGGATTGAGGATGTGTAATAACTTAATTGGTCTGCTGATTGGTTTAGCATGGTTCTGGGTGTAGATAATGGGAAGCTCCAGCCTGGTTGTAGGTGGCACAACCAATAGGTTTATAGCCTGAATGGGATAAAAGGGAAAGAAAGGCTTTCTGATGGTGGAGCCTCCTGATTCCTGTCTACCCTGACATGGGCTGTTTCTCCTTTGTCATGTCACCCTATCTTGGAGCCAACTGACTATGGATTGAAACCTCTACAAACTATGGGCTAAACTAAATATTTCCTCCTTTGACTTGTGGGTGTCTGGATTTTTGTCTCAGCAACAAGAGAAGTAACTAAAACAGAAGGCATTAAACAGATACACCCACACACACACAGACACACATGCATGTATATGTATACACATGCATGCACATGCACATTATACACACACACACACATAGCTCATTACAGGAGGTGATCCTAAAGCTCCCCTGAACACTTTCTCCTTGACAGCTAAATTCCTGCATTCCACTTGAATTCTACTCCTGTTCCTCCAGGCTGCCCGGAGAGGAAAGAACAATTGGCTATCTCTTGTGTACTTGACCTTGTGGCTGGTAATTGGTAGGTAGAATTGAATAAACCATGCCCACAGATACCTCAGATGTTCATGCCCAGACGTTTTGGGAAAACAAGCTTTTCTCTACAACCTGAAGAACTATATTCCCTAGACATGTACTTGGCACACAAACAGGATGAGGGACCAGCAGCAGCATGTGTGGTAAAGCCTTGGCAGGACTGGTCAGCAGTGATCTCCACACCATACAGCAGGCCACTGGACCCCTAACCACACACCTGTGGTTCCAGGCTGTGGTTCTTCAAGAAGGCCATTAGCTCATTACTATTCACAAGTGTGTCCTTCAAGAGATCACAGATAGGCTGAAGTGATCTCAAGGCAGAGTGGACTTGATGCTGGTCCTTCAGACCCTCACCTACCTGTAACTGTCCACGTTGAGGCCATATTTAGATCCCCCTTGAAGGGCCAGTGCACCACCACCTGTTGGCAGCAGTTGACAGCTATTGTCAGCTGACAGTTCATGGCTGCCTACCTTCATGGATGAGCTGAGTGAGGGAGCTACTTTGTTGCTGCAAAGTTTCTACACCCCCCAACCCTGAGGACCAGGCAAAGATTAGACCTTCCCAGAGACCAGATCCTTGCTCTGGTTTTTCACCATCCCTGATATCTAGATATACTCCAACCTTTAAGTTTTTCATGAGGAGCACTCCTTGGATAAGTAGGGTTCACCTAATCCCTACCTCAAGTTCTTATTCTAGGGAGTTCAACCAAGGTGACCATCTGCTTAGACTCAGTCCTATCCTTGAGCTCCTTTTTGCCCTGACCTCTGCCTTTGGCCCTTGTTTTTCTCCTCACCTTTATTCTGACCATGGAGTCCAAGCCCACAATGAGGTGAAAAGAGAAAAGCATATGGTGTTAGGGGCAGGATGAGCCTTAACCCACAACTGCCATTTTGTTCTGACACTGTTATGGAAGATGTCAGGTCTGTGTGATCAGCTTTTAGCTGCTGTGCCCTTGGAGCCCCTGGAATGCTATGTTTACCTCTATTATCGTCCATGTCACACTGTATCACAATCCTGCCTTTCTGCCTCAGACTAGAGCTCTAGAGACTTGGTTTTACTAAAGCTTAGCTTGGAGCCTGGTCTCCAAAAGTTGAAGTTGTCATTATTACTGATAAGTAAACAGGTAATCTTTGTCAAACAAATGAAATGAAAGCATCTTCAGAGGCCAAGTCTCCTCCACCTCAGAGGGTCTGCACACCCTTTGGGGAGAGTGGATTTACCTAAAAGCCAAGCTTGGTGTGATGGTTAGTGAGGATTATCAACTTGATTGGTTTTGAGATCTACCCAGGAAGTTAGTAAAGCATACTTCTGAAAATATCTGGGTGGATCACAGAGGCATGACTTTGGGGTCTATATCTGATTTCTCATCCCTTCTTCTCCATCACTGTTCCCCTGCTTTGCTTCCTGGTCATCATTAAATAAGCTTCTTTGCTCCATCACACCCTTCTGCCATGATGTTTCTGCCTTGGAGCCAGCTGACCATGGACTAAATTCCCTGAAACTATGAGCCAAATTAAGCCTCTCTTCCTTTAAACTGTGCATGTTGGGGATTGTGTCCCGGCAGGTTAGCAAAGTAGCCCGTAGATCAGCTCAGACTGAATAAAGAATAAGCACAAAGTCTCATTACCTAGAAGTCATTAAGCTATGATAAGGAAAAAGGGAGAGGGAAGGGATGAATATTTGTTAAGGGATAAAACATCTGTAACCATCTGTGCAAAGATACTGCACTAGCCCACTGGGCCACCTAAAATGAGCCACATCTATTATGGTTTCTGTGGACCATGTTTTGGTCCACATACCTGCTTTGTGCTGGAAAATGCAAAGACAGTTTCAGTTGAAATCCCTGTCCCTAAGGAACTCAGTTTCATTGGAAAGATAGAAAAACAGATACAGTAGTTATGATAATGCCTAATATTTATTGAATGTTCACTATATACCAGGCATGGTTCTAGACACTTCACATGCATTAATTCATTTAATCCTTATGGAAACCTTCTGAGATAGGACATTTTATAAATGGGAAAACCGAGGTACACAAAGGTTAATCAGCTTGCCCAAAGTGGCACACTGTGACTGCTAGGTGAACAGGCCAGAATATGAAGCTATAACCTTTTAACTGTAGGGCAACCTCGACACTCACAGGGCATTGAGTGAACTCTACAAAGAGACGTGAACTGATGTCAGGACAATCTCACTCTTCTTAGTGAAAATTTTTGTATGATTCAGATCTAAAATGTCCCCCAAAGTCTCACATATTCAGAGGTGGGGCTTTTAGAAGGTGATTGGATCATTGGGCTTTAATCCACTAATGTTCTGTTAGGAGGTGGGCCTGGTTGAAGAGGCAGGTTCTGCGGGGCATGACCTGAAAGTGTATGTTCTTGTCCCCAGCTGCCCCCTTCTCTCTCTGCTTCCCGGCTGCCATGATGTGAGCAGCTTCACCGTGTGGTTTCTCCCTTGAAGCTGAGTGCCCATTACCTGAAAGCACAGAAACTGCAAGCCAAAATAAACCTCTCCTCCTTTAAATTGTGGGTATTGGGTATTTTGTCCCAGCAATGGGAAAGTGACTAAAACAACCTTTTAAACTAAATGCCCTTATCAGCACAGATGACCAAAGTGGAAAGCACAAATTCTTTCTCTTGATCAAATCCCCACTCCCTCCTTCTGGCCAACCTTGTTAATTTCTATTAATGCAATATCCCATTATTTAAACTAGGAACCATGGAGTTATTTTTTTCTTCTTCCTTGTCACATGTAACATCTACCTGGCGTCTGAATCTGCTGAATTTTATGTTAGATATACAGTGGGCCCTTGACTTATGAACTTGATCGGTTCCCGAGGGCTGGTTGTAACTCAAGTTGGTTGTAGGTCAATACAGCTGAGATCTGGATGTTTACTTGGGTATACGCTATAGATAACAAGAGGCAGATGAATCTTCCATTAACCTAATTAACCCAAGTTGTTTGTATGTCAGGGCAGTTGTAACTTGGGGGTCCACTGTACCTACATAATAAAGCTCTTCTTATGCCCTGACTTCTTGCTAGGATCATTAGCTGGTTTCCCAAGTCTCACCCAGTCTACACTTTACTTTGCCATTTACGGTGCTGCCATTCCTCACCTAGTCCACCCCAACCTCATTGCAAGATTTCAGGAAGCGATTCAGACAAATCCACCATGGCAAGCTTGAGTTCTGACTTTAAAGAATCTTCTGTGGATGGGGTTACGGTGTGACTCATATCCTCAGGGCAGGGCAAAGAAGGTCACCTGAGAGCACTGGAAATCACAGTTGACTCAACATTAACATCCATTTGAATTACCTGGGAGTCTTGTTAAAGTGGAGATTTTGATTCAGTGGTTCTGGGTGGAGCCCAAGATTCTGCATTTCCATTGAGTTCCCAGGGGGGCCAGTCCTGCTTGTCCATAGTTTTAGACAGCAGCTCAAACACAAACGTGGGGATTTCTACTGCCTCACTCCTAGGGCAGGACAAGGGGAGCTGTAGAAAGAAGTTTAAATACAATCAATACTTTAAAACTTTAAAATTGAAATCAATTCTTTTTTGTTTTTTTTTTTTTTTTTGGTGCCAGGCATTAAATCAATTCTTTATTGAGCATTTGCTATAGGCTAGATGCCATGCTAATTGCTTGTTTTGCATAGTCTCATTTAATCCTCTCAATACCCCAGAAGCTTCATACTATTGTTATTCTTCTAGAAAACTGAGGCTTAGCAAGAGAAAAGAACTTATTCACCATTATCTAGAGAGGAAATGGTGGGAAGTTAGTCCTCTTAACTCACCTGATGCTCAGAGGAAGAGCCGAGGGACAGTGAGGACCTGAAGATGAAGGGAAGTCTGAAAATTAATGAAATATTTTGCCAGTTGGTGACAACTGAAAACCGAGCTTGGGTTGACACTCTGTTGGGCTCCTGACATTCATTTTCTCTAGTCACCGCGCTATCGCTAAAACAGGTTCTATTGTCAGAGAAAGTTCAGAGAGCTTCAGTAGCAGAAAGGGTAGAACTGGGATTCTAATGTCATTGCCTGATTTCTCCCTGTTACCTGTAGTTTCAGCACACAGAGTACCTGCAGGGGTCACCTGCAGGGGTTCAGGGCACGGGCTGGGGCAGGGCTTAGGGGCCAGAACAGGAAGTTCTTGACCTAAACAGAGACCACCCAGAGAGTTCAACTCAGTGTGTGGTGGGAAACCATTGGACTGAAACTTCTGGGCCTGGTTTTACAACAAATGAACAGTGTGACCCTGCAGTGCTCTCCTCCCCTTTTCCTCTGCGCACCTTTTAAAGTCTGTAATGCCGTGGGCAGGACTGCCCACATCATCAGTGGGCCCAGTATACAATGGAAATGTGGTCTCTGTGTTAAAGATGTCAAATTTCAAGATGGACACAGTGAGCATTAAACCAAGAGTGAGGCCCTTCTCAGTGGGGGACCTTGTGTGACAGCATGGGTCACACAGCCATGAAGCCAGCCCCAGAGAAGAGTGAGGCTAGGCTGGGTATTCCTTATCTGAAGTTCTTGGGACCAGAAATATTACAGATTTCACATTTCTTTTTTTGGATTTTGGAATATTTGCACTTATGAGATATATTGAGGATGGAGCCCAAGTGTAAACATGAAATTCATTTATGATTCACATACATTTAAACACATAGTATGAAGGTAATTGTATAAAGCAATTTTAGTGTGTCTGTGTTTTGACTGTGACCCATCTTGTGAAGTCAGGTGCATAATTTTCCATCTGTGATATCTTGTCAGTGCCCAAAAACTTCTGATTTTAGAGCATTTTAGATTTTGGATTTTTTGATGAGGAATGCTCAACCTATACATAATTTCAAAGGCCTCTTAAATCTCTACTGTTATTTTATGCTATTGTCCCGCCGTTATTTGTATATCCTTCACATGTCACCTGGAATCTATCTAAGGCAGCCTTTCCACCTGCCCATGCCTCTCTCCGGTAAACCACAGGACTCTTGCTCTCTTCTTCCTGTCTGTTTTACTGTCCAGAGACCTTGTAAGGACCACTGTGTTCCGATTGCTTGTAACCGTCCAAGATCTGCTGCCATCTTGGTTGGGGCAAGGAGCAGCATAGATGGAAGGACTGGAACACATCCTTTTTTCTGTCCTGGAACACATCCTTTTTCTCTCCTGGAACACATCCTTGCTCAGAAATCTCCTTCATTTCCCAGCTCTCCCCTGAATCTTCAGGAATCAAAACAGAGGCAGTGAGACGGAATGAGTCAGAGCTCACGTCCTGTTCTTCCCTTTTCCCTCCACCCCAGGGGGTGAATACCTCAGTTCCCAAACTCTCTGAGTCAGGGAGGTCACCCTGAGGACATCGGCCTGTTGGTCTGAACCATGCCAAGCAAGCAACAGCTGCTGAGATGAGCCCTGGGGGCATCACTTCCTGTGGGCCTGGAGACTGGTTCAGGTGGGCTCTGGGGCTCCTCCCCAACCCCTGTCACACTGCACAGGTAGCCCTCGCACAGCAAAATCATCGAGTGTTTGGTCCCATTGCAGAGAAACAGCCTGGAACCCAGGACGGCACCCAGGACACTGAGCATTAGGGTTACCAGCGAGGAGGCAGCCACAGAGCAGTCCTGACTCTGCAGAGACAGTCAGTGCTGGCCCAGTGTCTGTGGAGTGCTGAAGTCTCTCATGGGCTTTACCACTGACCTTAGGCAAATCTTTTCACCTTCATGCTCTTTGGGCCTCAGTTCCCTCATCTGCAAAATGGAAAACCTTCTTGCCCTGACCCCAGGCAGAATTAATCTGTCTGTTCCCAGGAGCCCCAAGAATATGATTCATAATTTAACCTGGGCACTTAAGTTGTAATATGGTTGGTCAATTATGCATCCAACTTTCCCTGTAGGCCATCAGTGCTTTAAGGCAGGGAGCATCCTTCAGTAACTCCTAGGTGCTCCTTTTAAGCACTGATCTTCCACTATTCTATGTCCTCGATACTAAGAGTGCACTGGGGATGCTAGTGTGCAGGAAATGATCAAATTTCACACATTTATTAAGATGACAACTTTGCATATCCATTCCCTACAATGCCTGGAAATATATCTGAACAAAGACAAAACCATGGTCCATACCTGCCATGCAGGACCGAAGAACAGTGACTGGAAATGACTCCATCCTACTGTTCTCTCTGTCCCATGCCTGCCACCCACTGTTGCTGAATTTTTGTTTTCCATTTCCTGACCACCATCGCCTTGCATTCTGTTGACCAAGGAGCCACGCAAAGCCCAGAAAACATAGCCAGCTGGGCAGAGAGGTCAAGGTCCTGTCCTGGCTGACGAGGTGGTACCCGGTACTGATCATTGGGGTAGAGGCATGAACTTCAGAGAAGGAAAAAGAAGGTAATGAAATTTCTGGAAGCAGCATCTGCTTCCCCAGGAGCCCAGGAGCATCAAGGAAAGGCTTAGAAGCCCTTGAGGATGCACTGATCTTCGCTCAGGGCTGACTCTTGGTGCTCCTGTTCTTATTTGTGTCCCTGAGCTCCTACCCAATGGGTAAGGGACACTGGGGGAGTTACAGCTGTGGAAACCAGTTATGGCCTGTGATGGCCCCACCTCCAATTCATATGCTGAAGCAATTCCAAGGCCCTAATTCAAGTTAGAGCCTTTAAGGAGGAAATTAAGGCTAAATGAGGTTGTAGGGGTGGGTTATAATCCCAGAGGTCTGGTGTCCTCATAATAATAAGAAATGCCATGCTCTCTCTCTCTCCCATGCGTGCACAGAGAAGAATGCATGTGAGGAATCAGCAAGAAGGCAGCTGTCCGAAAGTCAGGAAGGGAGGTTCCCCAGAAACCAGCCCTACAAGCACCTCCTTTTAGATGTCCAGCCTCAGAACTGTGAGGACATGAATGTCTGTTGTTGGACCCACCCAATAGATGGCCTCTTGTTATGGCCCATTTTGGCCTCTGTATGGGCATGGCCTTTCATACAACAGTTCTGGGAGAAGGACAAGGCTCCATTGGGCATGGGGAATTACAGGGATCCAGTGAGTGAAGGGGTGGCCCCCACTCTCCCACTGTGCTGTGAGGAGCTGGTGAGTTTTCATCCCCACACACAGATTCTGTCCTGCTCAAGGACCTCTTCTCTTACAGGGAAGCAGAAGAGGCAACTTGTAAGGCCACAGTGTAAGGCTGGTCAATCCTGCCAGCCAGAGTTTACCGAAGTCAATGGGAGCACCATCTCCCAGCCGCTGGAGCTCTATGGACCCTTGTGTGTGTGTATGCACATGGTTGTCATGTGTGTATCTGGGCATGGCTGGCTCTGAAGCCAAACAGAAAGGGAAAAGAATGGAGCCACAAGGGTGGGCTGCCAGATACATCCCAAATCTTTACCTGCAGCCCCTGATCAGGCCATTTTACCATGGAATGGAGGCAGAGGCCAGGCTGGCTACAGGGAGTGTGCCTAGCTGGGGCTTCAGTTGGCTGTAGATGCTGACTTGCTGGAATCACCCCACCTTGGCTTGCTGTGGTCAGAGTGCTGTGTGGCATCACCTCAGGCACACCATGCCAGCCTTCCTGCCCTACACCATTTTCAGTATCATCGCTCTCCCATTTTTTCAAAACCCACCTCAGATATCCCTGATCAATCTTCTCAGTGGAAAATTGCTTCTCCTCTTGGAATTCTTGTAACAAGTTGCACCAAACTCCTAGCACATGCTGCAATGGGCCCCATGTGAACTGCAGTCCTTTAAGTATATGTTTACTTCCCCTGCTAAACTGGGGTACCTGAAGGAGGAACACTAGCCCAAGCCTTTTTTGCTCCATCCAGTGGCTGGCCTGTGCACTATTCCATAAATGCATCTTGCTGTCAGTGAGCTTTCTCTTCCTTCCACAACATCATCCTCTTGTAGTCTGAACACACACTGCTCCTTTGGCATCTGTCACCCTAGGGCAGTGGTGGTGAACCCACAGCACATGTATCATTGAAAGCTCTAAAAGGTTCACCATCACCGCCCTGGGGACTTCATCTCTATTGGTGCTTTCTCTGGAGCCCAGCAGGAGCTGCCAGACTTTCACTGCTTCCTTCACTTCTTTATGCATCAAGTGTATGGGAAACAGAGAGAGGAAGTATAAAAATAAAGCCTAACTATGTAGTTGCACCAAGGTGTGTCCTTCCTTAACCCTGGGCAATGTCTCAGCTTGGTAGGTTTCTTGGTCACGGTTTTAGTCTATTTGGGCCACTATATAAAAGTAATACCTCATTTCATGAATGCTTCTGTTCACAAACAATTTGATTCTCAGAAGCATTCGACAAAATTTTGCTTCTGTTCACAAAATCTATATCGGGTGACAAACACAACCACACCCGTCTTCCCCAAAATCATACAACAAATTAATCAAGCACCACTGCACCATGAGGACAGAGCTTCCCAATGTCCCCTTTAAAAGGCACTAATTCCATTCATGAGGGTTTCATCCCCATGACCTAATGAACCCCAAATGCTATCACCAAATACTATCAACTTGGGAGTTAGGATTTCAGTATCTGATTTTGGGGAGATCATGAACACTTTAAAACAGTTACTTTCTCATATTATCCAACAGTTTTAAGATCGGCATTAGGAACTCCAATCTATTGGGTAGTTCCTTTAGGAATGGCTCACCAATTAAATGTATCCCAGGTCCTTCTTGCCTCAAACAAAGAATTGGATGAGACAAGCCAAAAATGGTGCCAAAAGTTTGTTTGAGAAGTGAGAGGTGAAGGGGTGAGGGGAAAACTGGATCTGCAAAGGAAACATGGGCTGAACAAGAGAGAAAAGGTGCAAAAATAAAAGTACAGCCTCGTTTAGAAGACATGAGTTGGCTCTTGGGCAATCACCATGGCAGGCTCCTGGTGGGGTCTGTGTCCTTATAATCAGTTGCAGGTTCATGGGAACCCATGAGAAGTTCTGTGAACATGGTCCTGGGAATTATCTGGAGCTGTCCTGGGGTCTTGAGATTGATGGGTCCCGCTTATTTTCCCAGCCAGCTTTGCCACACCCTGCCTCCTCTGTTACTGCTACTGATGGTCTCTCTCCAGTATCAGGGCTTTGGTTTCCAGCTTAGCCTTGACCCAGCGAAGGGGCTTGGAGGCTTCTTCACCATCTTCCCTCTGCCCTCCTTCTCACTGTGTGGCTCAGGCTCCTCAGGGTGCAGTTGGGGAAGGATGACAAAGAGCAATGAAAGCTCTTTTGGCTGTCACTGTAACCTGGCCTTGGGGCACATTGGCTGGGGCCGGGTACACAGGCTGGCTCAGGTTCTTGGATGAGCTTCAGTGGGCCTGTGGATCCTCTGAGTCCTTGCTGGGTCCTCACTTCCCTTGGGGATGCAATCTCCTGGATAGTTCCTAACCCACCCCTCTCGGCCTCTGTGCTTCATGGATGGCCTCCAATCACTTGCTGCTAGGGTTGCCTTGCTCTGGCAGGAAGTCCTTTGACTGACGACCTGGTCAAGACAACGACAAATCTGATACCTTCCTTAGCTCTACCTGGCCCATGGAAATCCCTGCATGCTTTGGAAATCTCTACCTTTGGCAGAGCATCATTTCCTCCCACTGTCACCACCACTCAGACTTCTGCCTCAGGCTGTTTTCTCCAGTGCTCACCTTCAGAATTCTCCAGACAAGCAGCAGGCATCAGGCCAGTGTCCCCATTCCAGGGGTTCCTGGCAGCCCCTCTCCAGCGCTCCCTTACTGCCCTAACTGGTGGCACCAGGACTCAGATTTCTGTACCTCAGCAAGCGTCAGGCCGGCGGGGGTGGTCATGCTCTCCCTGTGGGAAACATCCCATTCTCAGAGCCCCGCCCCTTTGGCCTCTCCCTGCCTGTGAAGCCAGGGGCTTAGGGCAGTGTTGGTGACTGCTCTTTGACAGAGAAAGTGGGTACATGAAGAGAATGCTCTTCAAACTCTCTATTTGAGGATCTCCTGAAAGGACTGTTAAAGATTAGATACCCTTCCAGGTATTTTTAAAGTTGACATCTAAAATTTTTCACTGTAAGTTTAAACAGTTACAAGGGAGATGATTTCTGGTGTGTGAATATGATACATTATGATATCTGTGCTTTAAATAGTTTTCATCAAAATCTTGAAGCTGCAGATTTGAGTCATTCAATTTATGAAAAACATCCTTTGCATGACATAATTGGCAAAACCAAAAAGCTAAATCAAAACTTTTTTTAAAAAAAAAAGGAAAATTGCGATTTCTCTTTTCAATTTGAATACATATGTTCATTACCTGCACTACAGCTGCATTCTGACCCTAAGATAGACAGGTAGGTAGGCAGAGGAGGCACAGTTTTGCAATATGCTTACCACTCATCTTAAATATTCCTTGCTTTGGTTTTTGCTGGACTTTTTCTTGGAATCCTGTGTTTGGTGCCCTGTGTATTTTACATCTCAGGGAAATGAAACACAGCTAGATTCAAGAGGGGCAAAACCTTTCTTCATTTTGTGGGAAAACTAGAAACCACCAGTGTGTGCTCAGATTGGCTTTAGGAAGAATTCCAAGGGCAGAGCAGCTGAGAGCAAGGTCTTCAAAGCCCCATGAGCTCTGGGGGGGTCACTGTGTGGCTCCAGGGACACCCAACAGGGAGTCTGCTGAGTGAATGGTGGCTGCTTTTTTCATGGTCACCCTTAGCAAGCTCTGCTGAGGGTCAGACACCCCTGGTTAGAGTGAAGGTACATTAACAGCCTCTGTCTCGTAACTGAGGTCTCAACTGAGGCAGGAATGATAGCCCTCGGAACAGCCTGCTTGGCTCATGGGAAGCTTGGCACACCCACAGAAGCCAGTGAAATCCATGCACCAGTGTCCCACATCGGTGGAGCGTCGGCCCTCAGGGTCCTTGCTGCCCCTCCCTGTGTGGGAAGGGGTGTGACAGGGAATTCTGGGCTGAGCCACCCTTTCCGTGTGGTCAGGGCTTTGGTGTGGGCGGCAGTGGGAGACACAGCTGGCCGGCAGGGGCTGGGGGACTCTCTGGGGACTCCTCCGGGCCAGGGCGGAGTATGTTAGCCAAGTGGAATCCCCAGAGCTGGATTTCCACAGCCATTGGCAGGACTGAGCTGTTCCTTTGTCTGCGCCCGAGGACCCCCGACTTGTGGCCTCAGCCTGGGAAAATGTGTGAGCCAAGGCCACCGTGGCCTACAGGAGTGGTGACCCACGTGGAGCAGGCAGCTGTTCAGCCCTGGGCCTTGGGGGAGTGGCTGCCTGGCCATCACCAGCCTTACACTGGAGCTGGCTCGGCCGGGGTGGCGTGTGAGACTGGCGGACACAGAGAGGAGCTTGGTCCAAATGTCTCCACACCTGCCTGCCATGGTGCCTGACCACCCACTGCCAGAGACAGAGGCTGGGATGGAGAGGCAGAGGCAGGACAGAAGCACAGGGAGGGAAGGAGGAGGCAAGGAGAGAGAGACAGACCCATCCACCCTACTCTTCAAATGCTTGCCCACGACACTAAGCAAGCCCCCTGCCCTCTCTAAGCCTCAATCTTCTCTCCATAAAATGGGGCTAGAATTCAGCAGATAGAGTGAGATCAGGAATGTGGGAGGTCTGGCCCACACCGCATGGCCAGTGCAGTCTTGCTTCCAGATAGAGACGCCTGCCCAGTCCTCCGGACCCAGTGCCCCAACCCCTGACCCCTGACCTGGCCTGTGGTACCTGAGACCCCAGCCCAGAGTGCCAATTTGCCCAAGCCTGAGTGCTGTCCTGGGGTTTGGAGGGCGAGAACAGAGAGCTTGTGGTGGGCCTAGGGGAGGACTGCGAGACCACTGAGACCTGGTGTTCTGAGGCTCAGGGGGGTCTCCCTGCCATAAGCTCTCATGGGGTCACTGTAGACTGTGGGGTGGCCTGTAACACGCTGATCCTGGGGCCGGACCCCGAGGCAGGTTCAGGAGCCCTCTGTGAAGCCGGGCAGGGAGGTGGCTGTCCTCCAAAGCCTGTCCTACCCGCATGAGACCATCTTGTCCTGGACCCCACCCCTGAAGGAGGTCAGAGAACTGGGATGCAGGACAGTGCAAGAGATGGGCGGGGACGTATGAGGAAGTGGGGGGGAACAGAGGTGAGCCCCAGCCTGGCCACTGCCACAGGAGT